CATTTGAACAATGGAAAGCTAATATGCCTTGGTGACTTGGTCTTGGTCCTTGGATGAATAGTCTGGATTGGTGGGACTCATCCTTGGTAAACACTCTGTTGTTTTCACATGCGTAACAACTTTAAATAAAATTCCATTATTAATTGCAGTTACCTAACCTGATTACCAAAATAAATAAATATAAATGGCAGTTTTTTTTTTTTCTACTAAATAAATGGCAGTTACCTCTTAGACAATTCTATTAGTAGGAAAATTAAATTAATGAGTATGTTGAAAAAATCTTCTCAAAAGAATATGTGGACCCAGAACATGCCTTCAGTATAATTTGTTTGGTTAATTGAATCTACTTGCAATTAACTCCTTATAAGCAGGGTTTAAGTTTTAAGATCAGCGCTAAATTTTGTGTTTAATGTATTAGGCTAGTGTAAAAGGTGAGCTATTAAGATTGCCTAAAAAGGAATTAATCCTTATTTGGTTACTTTTCAAAAATGATCTTGGATGGGAGAATATGCCTAAGATATGCTATTTTTGGGAGCCAACTATAGCTGTTATTTTTATTGTGGTTGATGTGAATTCGATGATATGTTAAGATGTCATACATTTCCATTGTCAAAAATGTCATGTAGTTCATATGTATTATATATTCTATATTCTTGTGATAGTTACATTGCAATCTTATTAGGTACATGGCATTCAAATAGAATAGAGACAACTTTTCTCTTTATATCAAATTTAAAGACTTTAGACTTTAATTGTGAGAAACTATTGGATACAAATTTTATCAATTTTTTATTTAAGAATGTAAAATCAAACTTTGCTTTATTACAATCAAAATTACTGTTTGTCATGTTATTATTTTCATTCAATAAATTCTAAATAAAAAAGTATAAAATTTGTATCCTTGTGTAAAAAAATAAAAATTTTATCACCTAATTTAAAATTTTAAAAAGTTCATATATTTAAATAAAAAAATTCAAAATTTTTATTTTTATTTGTATTTTTTTTTTGTTTTAAATATTGAAATTTTTTCTTTTAATGTAGCACTAATGCTATAGTTTAATTATAACTAGATCATTCACGTCGGAACTAAATCAAATACGAGGAAGAATCAGTATCCTTTTCACTAATGACATAAATGGAGGAATTAGTTATAAGTAACACTTGAGATGGTATCTTCTTTTTCTTTGATTTTTCTCCATTGTTGAATCTGTAAACAGGAAGGAAACATGAAACCGTGTCGTGGGTACACCAATACTTTATTCTTCGCTGGATGTGGGTTCCACACGATTTCTGGGGTGCGTAGTTGACGGTTGTGATCAGACAGCTTTGTGGCAGTGATTGATCCACCCATAAAGACGACCCTCCAGAAGTTTATGAGGTGGCAGTGATATAGTGCGGCACGTGCATCCAAATGCTATTTTTTTTTAATGCTCGATAATAAATTATACACAATAAAATATAACTAAGTTAAAATTTTTATATTACGTAGTAATTAATTATTTGATATGTATAAAAATTAAGATATAACTTTTCTCATTCATCTGAAGTTTTTAACTTAAGATTTTTAATATAAAAAATTTAAATTTTTAACAAATAAGATATCTTTAAAAGACACATGCATTAAAATACTTATTTTATATTTTTTATTTCTTAATAAATTTATTAAATTGTAGTTTGAATTGTAAAATATAAATTTTTAAAGACTTGTCCTTTATTTAAAAATTTATATTTAGTAATTTAAATATAATTTAAATAATAAAATAATTTTTTTATAAGTTTTTGGGTTTAGACTATATTTTTTTATAAAAATTAAATATAAATAATAAAATTATTAAATTAATATCAATAAATTAATTTTTAAAAAAATTTATTAAGGATACTACAATAATATCACATGGAAAGTGAGAAACACATATTTTTGTTTTCCCTTTTTCTTTTTTCTTTTTTTTCCTTTTTTCACATAAAGAAGGCAAGTGGTCCAGGTCCAATTGAAAAGTGGAGTAGTTGAGGCTCAAACGGAATGTACGAAGCAAACAAGAAACACATACTCGAATTTACATAAAGCCTTAAGTGGAGCCCAAAACAATGGGCATGTCACCTCAATTTTTTTCTTGCAAGAAACGCCCACGTTTCTTTCACACAAAATCTGAAGTCCTTTCCTTCTACGTCTGAAACATTAGCTCTTTCATTTCTTGCCAAAAAAAACATGGCCAACCATTTCCTTCCCATGCAATCCAATGCAAGTAGACATGTCACATGGGTTGGTCAAATAGGGTAGTTGGAGATCACCTAAACCGATCCGGTTAAATAAGTTGTGTTAAACAAGTTTATAGATTAGAGAAGATAACCGGTAAGGTTATTGCTATTGTTTAAATAATTAATATCATATTTTTT